TAAAAGTTCTCTCTAAAAATCCCGAGTTAGATTCTCAAGCTTCAATATAATCTGCAACACTGATCAAAYGTAATCATCAGTCTTTAAAGTGACTTCTATACAGATGGGGATTAGCAAGGGCATAAACTGATTCCATGGAGCATTTCATTTAATTGATTTTATCATAACTGTATTAGGTCTGATCCCAGGAAAAAAGAAATAGCCTTGTTATAGAGAACCACAGATTACRGCAGCTTTAATTTAGGTTAGATTTTTCATATAGGTGAACTGTAAATATCTGAGTATTACAAGAGCTGACTACATACTTTCAAGCTTTTATTTCCTGTCAAAGGATTTGATATTTTSCTCTCTTATAATTAAGAAGAAAGGATTACTTATCTCAAATCAATTCTAACAGAAAATTGTATAATCCCAGGAAYATGGGGCAATACTCCTTTTTAACCTACTAGTAGCATTTCCAACAAAGGATACACCAGTGCTTCTATGAAAGCACATGAGACATAAATCAGACTTGACTTCAGACTACGTATAAGGCCCTTTTTGATTACAAACAATAACAACAACAACAACTTGTTTCTTTTTTTCCTCTTTATTCACAAGTTGATCGTTAATGAGAAAACACACAGRGTAAGATTAACATTGCAACTTGGATCTTCAGCCTTGTTTTTCTAACCCAAATACTGATAAAGGACACTCTTCTCATAACATTCTGTCCTCTCCCTTCTTTTGTGCCTTCAGAGTCCTTTCTAAAAGGAAATACACTGCCTGGCATTCTATATGATTCCTAAGTTCCAGGGGAAAAATGAAACAGATAAAGTGWTATCTAAGAACACTGAGAACTATAGCTTCAAAAACAAGACAATRACTCAGATTTTCTTGCTTTAATTATTCTTTACATTGCCACAGTAAAATATAAAATGAAGTCCAACAGAGTACTGATACTCAATAAATGACCTATGACTTTCACATTAATGGGGCTATCAATAATAAACTGATCAATGAAGTAACTGGAACAAAGCTCAAATATAAAAATTGATTCACTATTCTATTATACAGTATTGAAACCACCATAATAACATTTAAACACCCAGRAAGTTTGAAGTAACATTAAATAATAACTGGTAACTCCAAAATACCGCAACATCTTTAAGTGCCTTCTGAATGACCAAAAMCAGATATAATTAATTTTGTTCAGTATAATGTCAGTGAAGTTTTTTTTTTACACATAACTATATAGTTTTTAAAAATTGGTAACCCATGTAAGATACACATTAAACCCTTAAGTGACTAAACTGTTCAATAAATAGAACTCCACACTGCTTTGCTGTTACGGACTAATGAGCTTATAATTAAGGAAACCCTTTTAAGAAATTCTAGTCTATAGAATGACATGTTCAATGTTTGGCCCTATTAACTTTCAGGCAAAAACCTGATTCCTCTATAAGACGTTTAATTCCTCTGAATACCACTTTTAAGGGAATTGACTTGAATTTTGTCAAAATAAATCACTAGTARTGTGTGGCCCTCCAATCTACGGGTTCTCCATGATCTCAGTTCAGTGTGAGCCAGCACACTGACTTTTCCATGAGTTCTCCACAGCACCAACTTTAAGACTTTTCCACAAAGCATCCTGCCCTTCTCTAGATTTTTGGTAGAGTRTAAAGTTAATAATGGCATGTGGTGTTCCTTAGCATAACCTGCCAAAATGTGATGATTTCCTTGGAAGAAAAGCCATGGGCTGCGATCACACGTCTGAGTTGACAGACATCCAAATGGATTCTATATAAAAAGAAAAGGTTTGTGTCTTCTGGAATATGAATGTCTACTTTTAACAAATTCAAACAGATCCCGACATAAACATCTTCGAACTTGATGGGTTTTACATGACCCATCATTTCATAGATCCTTGGCACCAAATCTCTGGACATTATATAACCCAGCCCACTRCAGTAGGGAGGGAACACCTTGAAAGGATACTCCTGGTATGAAATATGGTTTTTCTGGTAAAATCCTCTGTAGGAGTAATTATCAATGAGAGGATAACCTGTGAAAAACTTCTCTGAGTGGTTTAAATTTAAAAGATACTTCACTAAATTACCAGTATTGATGAAAACGTCAGTGTCTGTCTTCATGATGTACTTGGCATTGGGGCAAAACTCAGTTACCCACCTGAACGCCATAATAGTTTTCAAGGTCAGGTTGTTATATGTGTCTAAAAAATCTTGTCGTATTATGTCACCATAAAGAAGGTGCTCATCTTCTAAGGACAACGCTAACATTTTGTCTTCCCTTTCAGCTTGCTGGCCTAGTAAGAAAAATGTAAGAACCTCATATCCCCACCAAGACTTCTTTTCACCCCAAGTAACCCTAATGGCCTGCCTGGCTTTCACATCTGAGGGGTGCGAGGTCACTAGGATGACCAGAAATGGGTTTTGATGAGAGCAGTTTGAATGCTCTCGAAGTGTAAAGCGAAAGTCTTGTCTATAAATTGGCTCATACTCATAGAAGTACATCCAGTTCACACGCTCTATCACGTTATAGTGGGGAAGGCTGAGGTACCACATCACGAGGAAACTCAGGAGAGACAGCAGCAGAAGGCTCCATTTGAGGGATCTCAGTGACATCCTACTGGGAAGGGCAGTTAAGAGAGTCAGGGCCATCCACAGCAGCTGGGAAGGACGTAAGGCACAGGTTCTAGAAGATTTATAAAAAAATTGGGTTAGCACTCCACCATTCAAAACACATTTTCAATTGGTATTTGAGAACAAAGGATGCAAAGCAAAACCCCAAATCCTGACTTGAATGARTCTACTTAACTTCATTTAACTATAAGCAAACATACCAACAATCAAAAGTGTACTTTAGCTTTTACATCAGGACCAAGGTTAAGACATATCTTTTAATTATTTTGAAATGAATACTTCTTATCCTATACAAATAACTGTCTTTTTTGAAATATGATTTTTTCCTTAGATGCCTGGAAGGACAGAAAGAGATGAGTAATGGTAAGTTTAAAAATCAATCTACAATAAAAACAAATGAAATTGTGTTTCTTCTTTTTTTGCTGCCATGGAAAAGAAAATGCAGTAAAGGATTTAATGCAAGGATGTGTTACTAGCAACATGTCCAAATAAACCAAGGGTCTTTCTCAGCTGTATGATCTGATTCTACCAAATCTGGAGTAAGGAAAACCCTATGGCAAAAATTATTTTATTTATTTAATTTGTTCTTTTGGCAATAATTATTAATGGTGGCCACTGATRTGGGGGATCAGATAAAGGTGGAGACTTCACCTGGAAAGTGACAGAAATACGATAACTTTCTCTTGTTTTTTTTAAAATTCAGACTATGAAACAGCTTTCACTTGCCCCAAACAACACCCCATCATCCCCCTTTCACTCAATGCTCAAGTCTAGAAGCAAGTGTGTAATTAAAAGTCTATCTTTATACCGCCACTCTCCCTCCTTGGTTGTGTCTCAATTTCCTGTGCCTTTTGTAYGTTGGGAAATGGTCTGGGTGTCACTGCTGCTCATAATTAGAAACCACTGAAAGCCCCCAATGAAGCATCCAGGGGAAAAAAATCTGTCTTTAGTATTGAGTTTTCATGTTTCCCATTCCAATCTATTCAGAAATCACACACCAGATCAGAATCATGCAAGGGAACACTTCTAAGAACACTTGCTTTTACCAAAAGTCCAGTTGAGACAAGGAAACAGAGCTATGTGATTCAGCACCTTCAGACTGGCTTTCGCTCTGCTCCAGACCCCACAGGGCTTTTGTGCGCCTATGGACGGCCCAAGGTCAAGAGTGCCTAAATGTTCACTGGACATGGTCTATGTCAGCGGAATGCACCAAACACTAATGAGACCAAAGGRAGAGAGGAAGAAAAGAAAATCCCAAGGCAACAGTTCAACATGGYAGGAGAGTACAGTACAGACTGCTTCCATCAAATGCTAAGGAATTTCAGTGAAAGGGGCAGATTGATAACATGAGAAGAAGAAGGCTGAGGAGGCTTCTCATAGTTGTCCCTTTACCAACAATTATCTGGGCAATGGTTCCTGGGAATTCAGAATTTGCTGCAGAGGATGAACATTAATGTCAAAGGTTCTACCTTGGAATGACCTTAGGGTGTCTGAACACACAGCTTTTCTGGGTCTTCATACATGAGTATGACCAGATCTTAACACGCCTTGCCTTCTCCATGAGGCCATACTCCCTTGCCCTGATTACTTCTGGACCCAATAATCTTTTCTATTTTTATTGCTTTCTACATCTGTAGTCATACAATGTAATGGAATGTTTCAGTAAACTGTCCCCRTTTGGTCGCATGTATATACATGTCTTGTCTCCTCACTTACATTCTATTGTCTTTCTTGGCAAAAACAATTTTTCTAAAGAGTCAAAGCACAAGACAGAGGAAGGCCCACAGAAAGAGTGCAGTGGACACTGACATACTATTTGCATTTGAATAAGAATACTATTGTAGGTCTGTCYATCCAACTCCCATCTTCTTCTAATCCCTTAATAGCCATAAACAGTACATGAAAGAAACAGGAAATGAAAATTTTAGATGTAATTAACACTGTTTACATGTTTTTTTCCTCACTTGTCTAATCACTGCATGTCTACTCAATGCATGACCCTTAGGGGCAACCTTTACATTTCAGCCACTGACAACTTACACATTTATTACAATCGTTGTAAAATGCCAGTCTTATGTCTCAGTCTAACAAATCAGCATAYTACAACAAATTTCATATAAACAAGAGGAAAGTGTTCTAAGGTGCACCATTTTATARTTGCACATGGGCAATGGAGGCCCTGTTACTCTTCAATAATGGGAAGAACTAAAAAYAGCAAGTCTTATTACAAAAAGTTATTTTTATACATTCTATAACCCATGGTTTCTGAAAGTAAAAAGGTGACAATGGTTATGATAGTCACTGTGTATGGGCTCATGAAGAAAATAAACCAGCAGAAAAAAGAGAAGTTACCCAACCCCAAAGTGGGGAAAGATCAGACTTTCAGTCACCGACAACACAGGTGGCTCTGAAGGCAGAAAGACCAGAGTCCACACTCCAGCTCTGTCCTTTACCAACCAGGGCAGTGAGGTTAGTTATGATCCTGTCAGAGCCTTGGGTTTCCTGTTCCCCTGCTGGAGCCATCAGTACAGTACAAAGGAATGATAATACATGCAAGGCCTCTGGGCTGTGTTAGGTGTCCATCAACAAAGACCCGCGCTCAGCTGCTGTTCCCCGGTTGGCACCTACGCCATCCTACCTGTGTTCTCTAMATTGATTTTTATTGTCAAAAGGGATTCTAAAGAAATAATCTTGAAAAATCTATATTACTTGAACAACAGTACATTGAAAGGCCACAAGTCTATTTCTATTTCTTACCTTCTTGATTTATTTCTTCTGAGGACCTTCAGTTTCACCCAGTGAACATTCAGCAGAAGGCAGTTGTCAAAAATAATGCTTGAAATTTCTATAAGATATGTAAGAAGACAGCGTTCACCTATGAATCGGGGGGGATTAAGAGTCAAAGAGAGGCAGGGAAAAGACTAGGCATTTTCTGAACCAAGAATATCTGTTTAAATAAAAACTTCAGAAAACTACTTGTTCACAGAATTCACAGTTGATGGTATCATCATGCCAAAAGGACACATGGCATTAAAAACCAGTACAGACTCAAGACTTAAATACATATSTAGGGGTTGGGGATTTGCTCAGAGGTAGGCTGCATTGCACAAGGCCCTGGGTTTTACCCCTAGTACTGAGGCAAAAAGCAAAYACCTGTATCTACATTCTCTCATCCCCTGGTATCTTTTGTCGCACTGTCTCACTTCTTTGATAAAGAACTGAGGTCACTAAAAGAAGTACAACAGGCAACTACAGTGAGACACTCTATTTGTGTCTACTCTTTCTCTGTTCCATAATCAAATTCACAGAAGGCAGTGCTGATGTGCATATGTCAATTACCCCTTTGCAGCCCACTCCTGCCCCTTCAGTATCTCTTCATTCGTGAAAACTCAAAAAACTCAAGACACATTAATAAACTGACAAGCATCAAGGCACAATTGAGTCTGCTTATATCTTTTTTTTTTTTTTTTTCCTGCTGGTCAAGTTTAAAACCAGAGGAGGATATGAGAAATGGGGAGGCGCTGACATATATCACTCCTTATACGGAAAACATACTCCACAGGCACTAAAGAGTCAAAGATGGGAGAAAAATAAACTTGTGGAAACACCAAAAGAAAATATGGAATTCTCATAGATTAATACAAAGATAAACACAAAAAGAAATGGCCAAAGTGGCAATTCTCAAAAGAAGAATGCAAATGGTTACTAAAGTAAGAAAAGATGTTTGTGAGTTTGTATATTGAATGTGTCCCAAAGGGTCATCTGTTAAAGGCTTGGTCCCCAAACTTTAGTAGGTGGG